AGTACAGACCAAAGCTATGTGAGCTGTGTATTTTTATAGATTTGTTTGTGTACATTGTGTTTTGCCACCAGTTGATAAGCTCCCTGTTAATTCTAAAGTTTTTTTTTTTTTTTAAGGTACTGAAGGTGGACTTTTTTTTTTTTTAGTTTTTGCCACCAGTGTTACGCTACTGTTCTGTTAATCCTTTAAATTGTGTTAAATAAAGAAGATAAATGAAAAATTTAAGGAGTGATTTGTAAACTCTAATCCAACTGTTTCTAGGACCATGTTTCCTGCTGGTGGTCAAATTAACTACTTCCCAACTTCAGTCGCAGTTTTAAAGTACTTTTCATATGCATAGCATAGAAGCAGCATTTTTTAAGTGACTAAAACAAGTTAAATATAATAAGAGCCTATTTAAAATAATATTGAGCATGCATCAGGAAATAATAAATATAGTTAGTTGACGTGGAAAAGACGTCTATATTAACATGTCCGATAGCCGTCGAAACTAGACGTCTTTTAGACGTCGGAAAATGACGTCTAACTGACGTGTTACGTCTTTTTCCGACGTCTAAAACGCGTCTAATTTCTGACCACGTCAGATAGACGTCGAAACTAGACGTCGGAAAAAGACGTCTTCTGGCGTCACAGTCTGCACCTCCGAGGGACCTAATTTAGACGTGCAGAAACGACTTCAAAAAGACGTTGTTTAGACGTCTCCTTGCTCAGTGGGTAAATGCTGAAAATTTGACACAGTCAACATTTTCAACCATGAACACTATCAAGCAAAAACAGAGAAACCCACTGACCCATGCCCATCTGGAATGCCTCACTGTGGCTGAAACAACAAATTACAAATACAACATGAAGAAAGTCAAGGGCATGCACCACAGATTCCGCTCATCTCAGTACTAAGGTACATTTTGTTTAAACAGATAATGTGCCAGCTGTGTTCTTTTTTGTTCATAGGTGGATTGTTTCATTTTATTCTTTTATTTGAGTAACTTGGGGTAACATCGCTGCTCTCCCCTTGACTTTGATCTGTCAATATGGCTCTTTTGAAAAAAAAATAGTGAGGATCACTTAGTTACAAAAACTGCAGCCAACATCCTCACACTGAATAAGATGAATGTATACAAACCCAATCTGTGCAGAACAACTCTGGGGATCAAAACAGCATCCAGGACTTTGTTTTGTTGCATTTTTACTTTTAAACGAGACCGTTCCTCTTCATGATCTGGGCCTGTTTTGTCCAGAAACTCCGACATTTCAGCTGCAGCTTCCAGTCGTTGTTTAGCCTGATGTCTCCACATCTGTTAGCTTTTGTTGATCTAAAGTTTTCTTTTAACAGTTACTGAGCCGAACTCAAGAAGCTGGATTTACTGCAAATGTTACAGAAACTTTATTAATCGATAAAAAGTAGAGAAGAGACGGTCCGGTTGGAGCCGAAGCTGAGACGTGTCATTCTCCCTTCTATTACGGAAGCACGAGCCGTAATGTCCATGGTACTGTCAGCTCATTTGCGCATGCGCTAAAGGAATACTTCCGGGTATCGCGAGAAGGGGGTCTCTGCAGACCAAAAGTGGGCGTTTCTGGCGAGTAGGCGTTTGTCGGCGGCGAACACTGATTGGCTGTGGGTAACCCTCAAAGTCACGAGTTATTGATGCGGTAACGTTTCTTTGCGATGTTTGACAAAGAAATATGATTTATTGTACTTATAAAGTATGTTATGTTTTCACTTATGCATTTTATTGAAGTACGTTTATTGTAGGTCACGATAGTTTCGACCGTTCTCTCGTTGTTGTCGTAACGCACTGAGGTAAAGTGAACCTCCACAGCAGCTCTCACTGTGCACGTTTACAACAACTGGGTGTTGCTTTTCAAAATAAAAGCTGAAAATAAAAGTTCTTAATACTTGAAAAATAAATATTTAAAAGCTGTGTATAACTGAAAAATATGAAAAACAAATAAATAAAAGTTGTTATTAGCTGAAAAATAAATAAATAAAAGCTGTTAATTATATCTATGTCTTTCTGCCATGTCAGGGACCACTCTCACTTCAGGTTGACTCTAGAAGACCCCAAGATGTTGCCCAACAATGTTGACCAACATCTGATGTTGACTTTCAAAATAAATCACCCCCAAAGTTTAACATAGTTCATAGTAATAGTCAAAAGTTGCTGACCTTGTTGCAACATGAGTTAACACGAACATGAGTGTAATTTGTCAATGATTCAATAATGAGTAATAACTTATTCAATAATAAGTCTGTAATTTGTCAATAATAGTCAATAATTCATTCAAGAATAGATTATGGGTGTTTGGTATGGCTCAGTGGCTAAAATGGGTTGGATGTTAGAGAAATTACTTAATTTTCAATTACCTGAATGTACAAATTCCTTCATTTATAGTTAAACTTTAGGAAATCAACTTTTTTTTTCCTTGTGAAAAAAATATCAAAATTAACTTTAAAATCCAATCCAGGATTAAGTAACAACTAGCAACACCCTAACTGTACTATGTTCTGTGTTTCCAACAGATGCTACGATGACTTCTAAAAATGGATGTCCCAATAAACACAATAAAAAAATTCAATGATGCATCAAATGTTGTCTGAGTATGTTTGAAGGTAATAACAAATGTGAAATCTGGAAAACAAAGAGAATTCCTGAGTCTGTCTTGTGTGCGGGCAGCAGTGGCGCAACTGGTAGAGCTGCTGCCTCTCAGCGAGCAGGTCCTTGGTTCAAACCCGGGTCCAGGGGCCTTTCTGGGTGGAGTTTGCATGTTCGTTTGCATGCGTGGGTTTTCTCCGGTTACTCCGGTTTCCTCCCACAGACCAAAAACATGCATGTTAGGCTGATTGGTAACTCTAAATTGCCCCTAGGTGTGAGTGAGAGAGTGAATGGTTGTTTGTCTCGTTTGTCTCTATGTGGCCCTGTGATGGACTGGAGACCCGTCCAGGGTGTACCCCACCCCTCGCACAGTGATTGCTGGACATGGGCACCAGCGACCCCCGTGACCCAAAATGGAATAAACGGGTAAAGATAATGGATGGATGGATGGATGTCTTGTGTGCTTTGATGTGTACATAAGTTTATTGGAGGTCCTGAAACAACTTTTCTGAGAACACAAAGATTTTTATTTTACCTTTGGCCAAGATGTCAGTTTGAAATCAGGCTGCTTACTGCAAAACCAAGAGGTTTTTTTAAGACAGACAGTCTTCATTTGTATTGTTTTGTCGACTAAGCTAAATGTAATTTCTAAAATATGGATAAATCTGATCTCATCATGCAGCAT